AAGAGGTGCAAAAATTTGTATTTACCTAGCAATAAAGCTGTCTAAAAAGTTGCGTATAGCTTAAGATGGTTTCGTGTCTATCATGATTATAGGATCATAAACAGATGTTCAGATGCTTGGATACCTTTCCTACCAAGTTTTTTCCTCATTTTTGTCATAGTGTTCTGTACAGTCTTGAAGTCTCTGGAAGAATTCTTTTTAACATTAAATATAGTGTTAGAAGCTAATTTTACTGTAAAGCTCTACATGAAGACTTTTGCCACCTAAACAAAAAACATTCTAATAGTAAGAACGTTTTTAAGAGTTTAAAAATAAAATTGTAATACTAATACAAAAATAAGATATAACTTTTAACCAACTTTTTTTAGATTTCAGTTATATTTAGCATCTTGGTTAGATTTATCTAGGAAATAGATCACTCATATTATATATGCACCAGTTACAATGAAATTTTACATTCCTTTCCATTAAGTTTTTTTTAGTACACCAACAGAAATATGTTGAGCTTATTTTTTTTTTATATGAAAAAACCAAATGTTTAATATTTTGAATAGCTGACTTTTTTGAGGATTGATGACAAATTCCTTAATAATTCCAATTATCTAAAAATAAATAGAAAATTTGCTAAATAAAAATAGTCTTCAGTCGCAACAGTTTTATCAAAATATTCGAATTGATTTTTTTTTCACTATCTTAGGGACAAGCAGGAAATTTGCAATTCCTAGGGGACAAATGGGACATTTTCCACAATCACTGTCTACAAATGAAGTCTTATTTAACTTTTTTAGGGGTTTTTCTTCCTTTGCTCCAAGAATCTTTAACTTTAGAAGAAACTTCATTTCGATTTAAACATATTTTTTGACTTCTGTTGTAATACTAGTTGCATAAATGTAATTTATGCAATAAATACTAATTTATACTAGTTGCATAAATGTAATATATAATTATAGTTGCTAACATAACTTGCATAAATGCTATTCAAACAACTAATTTAAAATAAGGTAATTATAACTACAATTTAACTATATTGAAAATAAACAATAAGTATTTTTAACTCATAGATCATCCAGGCTTAATTTTAAAAATCGGAAACTTGTTTGAGTAAAATGTCTGGAAGAAATCTTCCCTTATTTTCTTCCAAGGTTTTAGCTGAACTGCTTCTAATTTTTTTTTCTTCTATCTTTTCTTTATTTTTTTGAGTGAAATTGCTTAAAAAACAAATATATCACAAAAATTATACCTAAACTTGTATGTATAGAAAATGTTTTAAACATCCGGAAAAACTAAAGGTTGAAAATAAAATCTGGAATTGCAAAAATATTCAGAAAAGAATAATCCCTGTTAACTGTAGATACTTTTAATTATATTTAAAAGTAGTTAATTTTCATGTAAAGTCATATCAAGTCTATAAAATAAGAAAATTTACTTTTTTGAAATAAAAGTTTGTGTATTATGATTATTTGTAACCAGAAAGGTATTTATAGAGTTGAAATACCCTGGGTCTTTAAATTGTTTCCCAGATTTATTTAAGGTTGGTTAACATTCAAATTTGTTTTTTAATTTTTTTGACAACAAAAACAGATTATTAGTTTGTTTCAAGAATAAATCCGATGCCTTCACAAAGTAACTCTTTTTTTTTTTTTTTTTTTTTTTAACATCTTCACTTCCAACAAGGCTGCAAGCAACCACTATAAGAGTTGGAAGTTACTGGAAGAGAAAAGACTAAATCTGTAGAGCAAGATAACAATTGACTGATGACTTAAAATATTGCAAATTATATGAATCAGGAAAGCAAGATGAAGAAAGCGAATTCCAAAGAACTGATGTTCGAGGAAAAAAACTAGAAGAATAAGAGTTTTTGAAGCACTTAGGAACAGTCACAGAAAAAGGATGAGACTTAATTGAATGGCGAGTAAAACGAGAATGAATTTTAGTAGATGGCACAAGGGACACTAGCTCTTTAGAGCAGTGCCCATTATAGTATTTGTAGAAAAGAGAAAGAGAAGCAACATTACGACGATGTGACAAAGGTTGGAGATTGGCTGCCAGAGCAGGTCCAACTATGTTTACAATTCGTTTTTGCACCTTGTCTAAAAGAGAAAGAGCATCATTAGAAGATCCGACCCAGATGTGGCAACAGTATTCCATACAGGGACGGATTTGAGATTTATAGAGATAGAGAATAGAATCTGGAGTAAGAAAGTGTCAAGCTCGATAAAGAGATGCAACCTTAGCAGATGCTAATTTTGCAATGGATTTGATATACGGTTTAAAAGAAAGATCAGAAGTAAGAGTTAATCCTAGAAGATGAATGGTAGATGACTCATCTAGTACATTACCATTCATAAATATAGGAAGATCTAAATTATTACGATAACGATTGGCCGAATAAAATTGAGTTTTATCTGAATTAAAGTTCACCAGCCACTGTGAGCCCCATGCTGTAGCAGAAGTGAGATCCTTTTCAAGCTCAGATACCCCCTCCAAGCAATCAGAGAGTGTAGGCTTCTTATCATGACAAGAGTAAATGGTAGTGTCGTCAGCGAATAATGCCACCTTAGATGTGAGAATATCTGGAAGATCGTTAATGTAAATTAAAAAGAGTATAGGGCCAAGGATTGAACCTTGAGGAACCCCTGAAGTTACAGGATGTGAAGAAGAGTGTTGTCCATCGAGGACAACTTTTATACTACCATTGGAAAGAAAGGACTCAATAATCTTAAAGACGTTACCAGCTACACCATAAGAAGAAAGCTTATGGAGAAGACCAGCATGCCAAACTTTATCAAAAGCTTTAGAAATGTCAAGTGCGATAGCCTTAACCTCTCCACCTCTATCTAATGCACGGTAAAACCTATCGGTTATTACTGTTAGCACATCAGCTGTAGAACGAGAAGACCGAAATCCATATTGATGATCAGAAAGTAAGTTATTTGATTCAAGATGAGAGATTAAGTGTTTGTTGATTAAAGATTCAAAAACCTTGCTTATGACAGGAAGAAGACTAATGGGACCGTAGTTAGATGAATCAGATCGCTCTCCGGAATTTTTGAAAATAGGGATAACAGATGCTGCTTTCCAGCATGATGGAAAACAAGACTCTGATAAGCACTTGTTAAATAGTTTAGAAAGTATGGATGAAAGCTCCGGAGAACACCTCTGCAAGACTACAACAGGAATGTTGTCAGGACCACAAGCTGTTGAAGAGTCTAAGCAGGAAATTACTTTAGATACAGAAGCTGAAGTGATGCGAATGTCAAGCAAGGGATCAACCTGTTTGACGGCTATGTCAGGTAAAACGCAACTAGTGGAATCAAGAGATGATATTGATGAAAAGTTCTTAGCAAACAATTCAGCTTTGTCTTTAGGTGAGGTGACAAAGTCAGAACCATACAAGAGAGAAGGAATAACAGATTTGCCCTTATTATTGATACTGTTAAAGATTCTCCAGAAGTCTCGAGAGCCTAATTTTTGTGATGAGATACGAGATTTAATGACCTGGGAATAACGAGCTTTGGCGTCAGACAAAACCTTTTTACAATGGTTTCTGGCGATAGTGAACAGATGTCTGTTTTCTGGAGAATTGTTTTGCTGATAGATATGGAAGTAACGGTTTCGATTAGAAATTGCTGCAGCGCAATGTGAGGAAAACCACGGAAAGAAAAATCACGGAAAGAGTCCCAGTCAGCTTTAAGGTAGTTGTATGTGGCACGATGATAGGGGGATTCTGATGAAGTAGAAGAATTTGATAATAGTTTTAGAGAGATCAAACCGTGATCAGAAGTACCTAAGGGTGAATGTGGAGAAATTGAGCACTGACTAGGATCCAAAACAAGACATAAGTCGAGTAGAGAAGGTAAATGATTAGGGTTGTCTGGAAAACGAGTTGGAAAGTTGACTATTTGAGTTAGAGATTGAGAAAGGCAAAAGTTGAGGGCCTTAACGCCAGCAGAGTCACTGACACTAGAGCCAAGCCAATCGGTGTGATGGGCATTAAAGTCACCAACAACGACGATATTGGCCGATGGATAAAGAGAGAGGGCTTGGTCAATTTGATCAGAAATAACATCAAGAATAGTGCAATCTTGGGATGAAGGAGAGCGATATAGAACAAAGAGAAAGGGGATAGAGTGAAGTTGTGCTAAACGAAAGCACATAAATGAATAGTCTGTAGATTCAAACCTAGTTTCACGACAAATTGGTGAGTTCTTACGAATGTAGATGCCCAGGCCAAGCATGTGATTATTGGAGTCATTACGAATTAAAGGAAGATAACCATCAACACTAAGATCACAAGATGGGACAGCCGAACTCAAATTAGTCTCACAAAGAGCAAGTAGGTCTGGTGAACTTTGCAAGAGATAAGACTCAACAGAAGAAAAGTTACTTCGAAGACCACGAATATTAGTAAATGATAGGTTTAGAGAACTTGGTGATGACGATGGTTTTTTATGTTTTTTAGTTTTAGGTAATTTAGTCATTTTAAATTTGTTAAAGAACTTGACTCAAGTATAGATAGTACTCAGTACACTATTTAAAAACTAAGCAATAGCCTCATTACTATTAATTAACCCTAAGCCGTAACAAAGGGCTCCAAATGTGGCCTCTGCAATGCACACCAAAAGTACGAACAGGGACACCATCCATGCGCAACATGGCACTGTTAGTACTCTGATATTTTTCGGCTGTTGATGGAATCAGCCTCTCTGAGAGCTACCACAGAGTTCGGGAAACCTGACTACCAGCCGGCCTCAGAACCATAAAACTGAGTTTTAGAGCTGTACCCTCATTAGGAGATAATAGAATGAGTTGCCCAGTCATAAAAATAGAGACACAAGCAATACCCACGCATTGAGTCAAGAAGATCCAGCGTTCAACATCCTAAACTGGAAACAATGTATTAAAAATACATCTGCGCCAGCCTAATAGATGAGGAAGGGGTGCGAGGCTGGTCAACAGATAGAATCTGTTTACCCCTTAAGTCTTTGCCTAGGAGGCCTTCTACAAGACAGCAGCTGGATGCATGTAAAATCTGCCCAAGATGAGTATTTTTATCGAGATACCATCTCTAGCCTTTACTCAACCAAGAGCCCCTAGGCAGGGGGTGTTTTAATTCGGAGTTAACTTCTCCTAGCCTTTGCCTAAAAAAGCGTATCCTACAAGGCAGCAGGACATGGAGCAGGTTGTACTGGGTTACATGTTACCAGTAGCAGGAAAACCTGACCTGACCATCTGTAGCCTTCTCAAACTCTGTAGCCTTCTCAAAATGATTCATTTGCCTTCAAAGATTAATTCCGTTGCCTTCACAAAGTGATTCCATTTTTCTTCACAGGGTGTTTCCGCTGCCTTTGCAGATTCATGTTGAACTAAATTTTGCAAATTTTTTTCTTTCATTTGTAGATTTTCTAGATCATAGATTTGTGAATATTCTATATCGTTTTAAACTAATAATTGTTCACTCCCATATCTTTTTTTCATAAACTTGACACTATGACATTTATATGTGCTTACAGGAGCATTCCTACATGCCTAAATGATATATAAAGCAAGTTATTTGTGTACCAATCTTTTAAATTGTCCTGAGGGAATTACATCAATCATTAAAAAAGGAAATAATACTGATCATTGATAATGTGAATATTTATATTTATATATTTAACAATTATATATTTATATATTTATATTTATATATTTATAATATTCATATTTATGTTTAATAATTATTATAAAAGAGAACTGTTAAAAAAAGGCATAAAAATATGTAAAAATTTCTCAATAATGAACATATAGAACTTTGTTTTCATAATGTATCATTTCCATGTTTCTTTATGGAAAAACTTCAAACTTGAGAATTAAAATGCTGTACAACATAAAACCTCAATACATCTTTTACAGTAGTAAATTCATAGTAGTTATTTTTAAGAAAAATTTACAAACTTTATTTGTAAATTCAGAATATATATATATATATATATATATATATATATATATATATATATATATATATATATATATATATATATATATATATATGTATATATATATGTATATATATATATATATATATATATATATATATATATATATATATATATATATATATATATATGTATTTTATATATTTATTTTATACAGCACATTAGTATGTATGTATTTTATATATTTATTTTATATAGCACATTAGGTGATAAATATTTAAGCTTTTTGACATATAAAAAATTATTTTACATCATTGCTAACGCAACGTTGCATGCAATATTGTACTTTCTTCAAAATCATCTTTAATCTATTTTTCTGCAAAACAATTATTTATAAATTAAAGATTTAAAAAAGTTACTTAACATCATAGTATCATAGGATGTCTAACACCATAGTACCATCATAGTACTGGGTGTCTGCCAGAGTTGTTAACAAGACCAAAATTAGCAAGGCCAAGGCCACATATACAATGCCAAGGCCAACAATAAGAGTTCAAGGCCAACGCCTAATCACATATTTTTAAGGCCAAAGATTTAAATTTTTGCCTTACGTTAATAAAGTAATTATGTAAAATTAAGAATGATTAATTACGTAAAATAATTATAAACTTTATGTATTTAATTATATAGGCCAAGGCCAAAAGAATCAAGGTCAAGGCCAAATATTTCAAGGCCAAGACCAAGGCCAAGGCCAAAAGTTTCAAAACCAAGGCCAAGACCTTAATTTTCGGCCTTAAGGCAAGGTCAAGGCCAAGGACTAACAACTCTGGTGTCTGCCAATATTTTAAGATGGATTTCCCTGATTTTTCCCTGAAATTTCTGACCCTTTACCTAGTTTCTCTGATTTAATTTTAGGTTACGAAAAATCAACTTCTAAAAAAACTCTTCATTAAAAACGCTATTCAATTGAAATTTTTAAAATAATAGTACAATACAAATTGAAAGTATAAAAAGAAGTTCATAAAACCATCTGCTCAATAAAACTTTATATTATGTGCATGATATATGTACTAATATAAGTTACCTCAGATTGGTATAGAAATATTTTGCCAGATTTCTTCCCGATTTTTCCAAAATTTAACTTAATTTCCTTAATTATTTTCCAGGATTTTTTTGCAGATATCTAAATTCCCTAACTTATTCCTGATCTGGCAGACACCCTGTAGTAGGTTTGAAGCTTTTCTTGAATAATATTTTAGACTTGAATAAAACTTTTAAACTTGGCACATCAAGTCCTGAATATTTAGTTGTGTTCTTAGAACATATAAGATATTAAATAAAATATCTATTCTAATTTGTATTCAATACAATAGATTGTCCATTCATCAAAAGGTACTTAAGGCTTCAATATTAAACATATAATCTCAAGATGTTATACAATATCTTTAACAAAAAAGCAACTTTGTAATTATATATACCTTTAAGAAATTTATTTTCAGGATGCGTCTTATTGACGTCTTGTGAATGGAAAATTCTGGATAACTCCTCCCACAATACGGGCTCTTTTGAAAACATAGTCAACCTTTAAGTAGTTAAAAAATAGATGACACATAAAATCATAGATGACACATGACATTATAGCTGACACATGACATCATAGATGACACATGACATCATAGATGACACATGACATCATAGATGACACATGATACTAAAATTAATAATTTAAGGAAAGGCTTAAATCAATTATTCGTTACATTCAAAATCTAAAATTAAAAATTTGCAAACCAAAAAGATAAAGTTTAATTGTTTTGTTTATTCAATTAAGTAAATAAATTAAAATAAAAATAACAATAAATAAAATAGAAATAAATAAACTGGTACAAAACATGTCCCAATCACTAAAAAATCAGTTTATGTGTGCACACTCAGCTATGACAATCCGTAAAATATTGGGTAATTTATGTACATTCAGAGTCCCCATTTTAAAAACATTTTAGTAATAAATATATACTTAAATGCATGTAAAAAAATAAAAAAGGAAAACAAAACAAAAAAATAAAATAATAAAACAGCATAAAATAAAAAAACATTCTTGATAACAAATATAAAAACTAATTTAATAAAGTTGTTTTATGATAATTTTTTTTTTTTTTTCAAAAATAATTAATTCTTCTTCTCAAATATTTTTGCACCTTATTTTCTTTGTGTACTAAATTCCTAAACTTACGGGGACAAAGCCTTTTTTTAAACAGTTTGAATTGAAAAATAATCAATTTTTTAAAAATACGCTTATCATAAAATCATTTTCAAAAATAATTATTATTTTCAAAAATATACTTACCATAAAAGGTATTTCTTTTACATAGATACTACAATTTACATTTATTTAGATATTTTTTACTTTAATTCCCCTAGCAAATTAAATAATTATTATTAATTCCCCTAGCAAATTAAATAATTATTATTAATTATACATAATTAATAACTAATTACTTAATAACTAATTACTTAATTAACAATTAATTATTTAATAATTAATTACTTAATAATTAATTACTAAATTAAATAATTGTTATTAATTATACATAATTAATAACTAATTATTTAATATCTAATTACTTAATTAACAATTAATTATTTAGTTAAAAATAAAATAATAGCTGATTACTAAATTAATAACTAATTACTTAATATTTACAAAATTAATTACTAAATTTCTTAATTATTAATTATAATTCATAATTAGTTTAGAAACACACATTTCTGATAATCAGTTGTTACTATTAATTTCATAAATAAAATTTATTTATATATAAAACTAAAATTATTCACAAAAATTAAAGTAAAAAAAATACATGTCATAAAACAATTTTCCACAAACATGAACATTTCCTGCTTCTCTTTCCATCAGAAATTCTTCATACTAATTTAAAAAGTTAAAAAATTATAAATAAAATTTAAAAGAAGTTTAATTATTTAAATTATCTATTTAGATATTATTTGATATTATAACTATTAAAAAAAGATCTTGACAAAACTGCTTTAGTTATATTTTACTTTTTAAACTTTCTTGAGGTTGTTACCGTGAAAAACAAAACTTTTTTTAAAAAAGGCTGCTTTAAGAAGAAATCAGGTGAAAAAGATATTACTGGAAACATGTTTAGGATAAATATAGCCCTGGTTTTTACACATGAGATCTTTATTGTAAATTAGACTCAATAAACTTCTAATAAATTAAATATAAATTTAATCAAATAGCTTTTAAGCGGTTGAAAATGTTTTTATTTGTTTACATAACCTGAATAGAAAAATCAGCAGGAAATAATGTTTTAGCAGTGAGTAACCATGCTTTAGCAGCAAATGTATCTTTTTCAATGACGCATTGTTGTGCAGCATTTACAAGCCATGATGCAGATGCATTAGTTTTTCCTTTAACCATTTAAGACTAATAAAATATATCTTTAAAATATACCAAGCACATAGCTTAAATATTATAAACATTTAAAAGAGTATAAAGTCATTTATTGGAAAAAAATAACATAAAGATTATAAAATCATGAAAAAAAAAATAAAGCTATGTGTTTTGGTTTTTTATATAAATTATGTATAAAACAAATAATTTAAACAAAATTATAGAATAAAACTATGCGCAAGAAAAATGAACAAAAAATAAAAGTATACACAAATAACTTTATTATGATTTGTCAGGGAGAAAATTTAATCCAAATAGAAATAATTATTACTTCAACAGATTTGAAATATTTATATAAAATTTAAATCTTTAATAAAATAAATTAAAATAAATACATCATAAAGAAAACTCTTCAAAAAGAAACACTGCCAAACACAATCAGGTTTCATGTCATAATTAAGATTTTTAAAATATTTACTCAGTATTTAGAAAAAGGTTAGACAATATATGGCATAAACAATGATATATAATTCATAAAAACATAGTAACCTAATAATAGTTCATGTTTGTAGCATATTTATAAACCACCGATTAAATATAATATAGCATACGTACAAATTAGTGATAAAAACAAGACTTGTGTCTCTCTCATTTTAATTTCAACATTCCGCAAAATATTAAAGTACCAGGAGAATTTCATAAACAAAATCCAATACAAAGTTTACTATTTTGTTGAGTTATTTTATTTAAATTTTAGGTAAATGTAAAGAAAAAATGCTTTAATACCATTATAATAATCTGCACTTTTATAAGATAACCAAGCTATAAACAACTTTTTTTTGTATTAAAACTCTAAATAACAATACCTGTTTAGCACTTATATAAAACTATATGCAGTATGTGATATATGCAGTATATGCAGTAACTATACCATTTTGGTCAGTAAATTACTTAAAGTAATTACTCAGAATAAACTTAGAAAAATGCTAAAAAACACAAAATGAATAGTTTTAACAATACTAATAATGTTATAAATAATAAAAATAATAACAGCAAAAACAAAAGTAAAAAAAAATAGTAATAATATTAATAGTAATAATAATAATAAAAACAATAATAACAATAATAATAATATAACAATCCTTAGTTAAAAACTGATGAGATAATAAAAAAGAAATATAAGTCAATAATAATAAATTAAAATTAAAATAAAATTTGAAACTCTTCAAAACTTACAATGCTGATCTTGAAAGCATTTAGTAAAAAAAAAAACTATAAAAATTCGAAATAATTCATTTACACTTGTTACCCACTTAACCATCCTTTAAATCAAATGAAGTTTGTATATAATTGATCACAAAATTTTGATGAACTTTATATTTCAAATAATGGTTTTAAATAGTAAAACAGACTCCATGCTACATTTAAGATATCCACTGTACGCTTTTTGTCAAATCAAAACAGCTGCAAAATTTTTAAACTAGTGACATATTCCAACATTTCTATATGTTTTAAGATAATATCAAGTTACATGGTCCATATAAAAACTAATATTTTAGAAACCATATACTAAAAAGCATATATCACAACACACCAGTTAGGTTTTCTTTGCAATGAGATTAAACAACAAAAACTTTATATCTTACTCAAAACAAAATCACTTATAAAAATGGTAGCTTTTTTTCTGAGGTACAAAATGTCCAACCAAATAAAGAATTTAAAAAGCAGGATAAACTTTAACAGCTACAACAATTATTTTAACAAAACTATATATAACTTTTATTTATTTGTATCTGAATAATAAAATAATTGAAGCATTGACATTTTACATCCCAGCTTGTACACCAGAAAGACCAAGTTGTTTATCAACAGGTGGTCCTATTTCCATAAACACTGACATAAGTCTGTGATTTACTGCAATCATTTTATCTGCACAACTTTCCACACATAATTCCTCTTCTTGAGAAAGGCTTTTATGACTCATATCAATTACACATGACTCAAAACAGTTTTGTGCAATTCGATTATAAAGCCCTATAAACTCACGATAGTTCTGCATTGCCATTGACTCCATTCTATCCATCTAATTGAATATATATATATATATATATATATATATATATATATATATATATATATATATATATATATATATGTATATATATATATATATATATATATATATATATATATATATATATATATATATATATATATATATATATATATATATATATATGTATATATATATATATATATATATATATATATATATATATATGTATATATATATATATATATATATATATATATATATATATATATATATATATATATATATATATATATATATATATATTTATAGAAGTATATTGTTTTTAAAAAAATAGAGTTCTCAATGCTGTTTAAAAAATTAGAGAAAAAATAAATTAGTAGAAATTCACTTATCAAACTTTTTTTCATTTTACACAGTGTTTCGCCAATAAATCTTTATTGATGAAACACTGTCACAGTGTTTTACCAAAAACGACTTTATTGGTGAAACATAACCAAAAAAAAATTATTTTACAATGTGACTGTGTAAAATGAAAAAAAAATTTGAAAAGTAATTTTTGTATGTATTACATTATACAAATTTCATATGTTTAAAAATGTAACCTTTGAGTCCCCCTTAATTTCAGAGGCTGCTAAATGTACAGGGTCAAAAAAATCAAAAACAAACTAATTTTGGACTAAAACGTGAAACTTGCAGCAGAATACTTATAAGAACAAGAAAAATATTCAACTTATTCTCTAGGCTGCTACATTTTTACAGATGTAAAGTAGCTAAGAAGAAAAAAAAATAGCCAGAAACAGTCAGGTAAATTTAACAAAGGACAGAAAGTTGTAAAATAATCTACATATGGAAACTGTTTTTACAAAAATAAGATAAGACAAAATTTTAGCGCAAATTAATATTTTCCGTAAAAAATCACGAACAATTAACTCGTGCTTTAAACACGTTAAACTATTGTCTTGTCCAATACATAACTATGGAGTTTTGTTTTAAACATAATAACCTTATGTTTTTCTATTCAATCCCGGGATATTCCGTGGACAAGTTTCTCAATCTTAAAATCCTAGGATTGAAAATATCCTTCTTTGTTTATAGCAGTTAGTTTGAGTTA